AGTCCTGAAGAAGTCCCTAACGAATATGTATGAGAGCTGACAATGCACATTTGCAAAGAGGAGGATGAGTTCACCCAACCTGATATATTTTAAATTACCAACCCACAGTAATTTTTAACCCCCTTCCCCCAGCTACCTAACCTCTTCTCTATTTGGTAGTAAAAATATTCTCTATTCATGACCTGCCACGAATTGTTCCCTGCCTACTCTACATCCTTGTCGTTGACAGTGATTAGCTATCACATAAGAAAGCAAAATTTCATTATTCCAACACACACACGAGGATTGGGGGAGTGACTGCAGGTGGGACTTATTGGGGTGATGGAAATGTTCTAAAATGAAATAGGAGTGATGGTTACAAAATTGTAAACTTACTAAAATGTATTGAATTGTACTGAAATGAGAAAAGTTTTATGCCTCAATAAAGCTACTTAAAAAAACGAAAGTAAGCGTCTTCCTGGCCGACCCTGTGGTGTGAGGATTTAAAAGCCAGCATGAGAAACAAGAAGGCAGAAAAGCAAAATGTAATGCAGCATCTGGGCACACTTTCTCAGCACTTTCTCAGGAAAGCACGGACACTGTTAGGCATGGCCCGCACCCTGCACACCGTCACTGTGCCGGGTTACCTGACCCAGCCACGAAGACAGCACAGTGACAGTGGCTGATGGACATGCCGGTCCATGCTGAGGTGTGGGCTCCAGAGACGGGGGGAGGGGGGAGGCGGATCAAGCCCCTCAGGGGTAAAGCTCCTGCCCTTTGGGAAAGTCAGGCTCAGGAGAATGTAGTTAGAAAGTAAGAAAAAACCAAGCAGAAAACTTTTTCCAACAGCAGTAAAGGGATGGGGAGGTGGAAGGGCATATCCAAGAACAGCCTATAAATCCCATCCATTTGGCTTCAATTGTCCCCCAGACGGCCTTCTCCCGGACCCTCCAGGAGAGCCCCTCCCAGCTCGGGGACCCACCCCCTGGACACCTCACTGCCCGCCACTCCCTGGCCCAGGCCTCCACACGTCTCACCTACACAGTGCAATGGTCTCCTGGCCGGTCACCTTGCTTCCACTGTTGCCCCCAATAGTCAACTTTTCACACAGCAGCCAAAACGAGCTTTTTAAAAATGCGCACCCCACTTATCCATCCCCCCAGCATCCTCCAGTGCCTTCCTGTCTCTTTTGGGGCAAAAGCCAAAGACCCTCCATGACTGTGTCTGTGACCTATGCCCGGTCCCGTCCACTCTCTCCAACCTGAATACCCTACTACTCCCAGCCTCCATTCACCAGATGCAGCCGCCATTCCGCCTTTCAGGGTGCTTCCCCGAGCACCCAGACTCAGTCCCATCTCAGAGGCCAGAGGTGTCCTCTTTCCTTTGCCAAGGACTCGCCTCTGGATTTACTTCGCTCCCTCCTCCTCGTTGCTGAGGTCCCTGCTCAAATGTACCCCTCAGAGCGTCCTGCCCTGACCACCTCACACTCACTCTTGGTGACTGCCCTGCTGCATTTCCTTCCTCACAGTCAGCACCACCTGACATGATCTTACTCCTTTGGGCCTCTTTGGCCCTTCACGCACCTCCCCACGGAAAGCCCCACGAGCACAGAGACCCTGAGTATTAACTCACCCTGAGACCCCAGTGCAGAGACGGGCCTGACACACAGTAGGCACCCAGCAAGCACTTGTTGAGTGAACGAATGAATTTTTCATCGTCCTCTGTTATTTCTCCTAAGCAGAAAGCACCAGTCCCCTTCCCACAGAATTTGCTCAGAGTTTGCTGAAACTAAGCTCCAACCCAGCCCCGTACCCGCATCCCCAAAAAGCAAGTCAGACTGAGTTACCAATGATGACTCCAACTTCACAGGAGGGGTCATCATAGGCACAGGTCATCATGGTCCCCACGGTGTCATTGACCAAGGCCAGGATATCCACATCGATGTCCTGTTGGAACACAAGCGTTAGTGGGTGGGAAGGGAGTGTCATCCCTCTGTCTGTCCCCACGGAGAAAGCAAAAGCAGTGAAGGTGACTGTTGAGAAAGTCCTTAGATCCTGCCTATGGGGCCTGCCTGGAAGGAGCAAGGCCTTTGTCAAGGTCAGGGGTCTCGGTGAGAGAACGAGCAGTTGGGAGCTCGTGGGGGAAGCCATGCTGCTGCGGTATGGCTGATGGCCCCTGTGCCGAGGAAGAGGAGGGACAGACCACCTGGACTCCAGCCCTCGCCTGCGGGACCCTGAGCAGAACATGTCTGTCCGGGAAGCAATGGTGTTCTCAGGAGGAGACACTCGGGTCCTCAGCTGTGGGCAAGTCCCCACCCGGGTTTCCCATTCCGCCAAGTCACCCTGGGTTACTGCACCACATTCCCCAAGGTTCGAGGGAGTGTTTTAAAGTAAAATGAAAACAATAAGAGAAAAACAGACTTCAAGAGAACACGATCACAGCTTTAAAGAGACTAAAAGACGGAAGGGTTCACATCAAAACAGTCCTCTTGCTGTCGGGGTGACAAATCATCTGGGTTCACTTGTGTGCTTTTCCACTGGCAAAGAGCCGGACTGGAAAGCGGTTATAGCATTTATTCAACAAATAGTCCAACTAAGGGAGCGTGGAAAGTGGCCTAGAGAGCCGGACTGGAAAGAAAGTACAGTGGGGCCTTGACTTACGAGTGTCCCGACTAACGAGTTTTTTGAGATACCAGCTGTCTCTCGGCCGATTTTTTGCATTGAGTTGATAGAGTAATTTCAGTTAACGAGCTTCTTAACGAGCTCCTTAACGAGCTCGATCTCGAACGAATTAAACTCGTAAGTCAAGGCCCCACTGTATATTTTAAGTCTCAGCGAGAGGTAGGAGTTGGAGCATCACACACAGCAGGGGGTCTAACCAGGACCCCTGAAGGGGCTGTGCAAATGGGGAGGTCCCTGGGCAGTGGGGCCCACTTTCAACAGTAACTGGAACAAGGTCCACAGACCAAGGCTCCCCCGTGGGTTTATCCGAAGTGCGGCACCTGCATTGCAGTGCTCCTCTCCCTGCCCTCCTTCAGGGGCAGGCACCGTGTGACCCGCCCTCAGGAGACGGCTAGGACTGGGAGCTGAGCAAATTCCTACCTTGTGGTTTTTCATGGCCTTGGTTAGACGGCTCACTACATCTGTGCCCTGAACTCCCCGGGCCTTAAACTTCTTGGTCCATGAAAGCAGGACACCCTGGGGGAAGAATTCAGATCCAGTCAAAACAAAGAAGGTGTTCAGCTCTGAACATGAGCTGCAGGGATTTTATGCTTAAAGTGCAACTCCCTGTCTTCTCTTCTTTAAGCTGCATCGCCCAATTCTTTCAGTATTTCTTCAGAGGCCTTTGCTAATATTTAAACATTAGAGGCCCAATGCACAAAATTCCTGCAAGAGTAGGCCTTCCTTCCCCCCAGCTGCTGGCACCGGCTTCCCCGCTCTGGCACCTGGGACCCGGGCTTCCCTTGCAGCCCTGGCTTTGTCCAGAAGGTCGTCCAGTCTAATTAGCATATTACGCTTTTATTATTATAGATCTTTATCATTCCCATCTGAGCAGTTTGGAACATTACATGCAGTGGCAGGAAGAACGATGCTAAAGAGTCAGGACACGGGCTCAGGGACATCGGACAAGGCCCTTAACTCTCTGACCCTCGGTTTACTCACCTGTAAAATGGAAAGGCCACTCCCCTGCCTGTCACAGGAATGCTCTGACGGAAATGCCTGCTGTGTGGCTGATCATATGTGTGCAGAATGTAAGGTTTGCCAGCTCCACAAAACAGGACTAACGTGGTGTTGCCTTGCAGAACTCCCTCAGGAACTTAATTGCAACTTAGAAAAATGGTTCTCATTTTGCATTATCAATGATTTGCTTAAAATTGGGTTTCCCACGAGTTTCATGTCTAAGCTAGCAAAAAATCATAGAATTTTTCCGGCTGGACGAGATCATGGAGATGAAGGCCACACAGTTGAGCGTAGCTGAGCCCAGATTCACAAACACCCTGACCACATCTTCCCACCCCCCTCAGTTTGTGGATAAAGAAGCTGAGACTTAGAGGAGGGAAATCACTCTAGGTCTCACAGGGAGTGAAGGATAGAGCTCAGACGGGACTCCCAACTGGCGACCTGGCTTTCCCCCTGCACCACAGCGCCGCCTAGTGGCCACTCTCCCTAACTTCTGCCTTCACAGGCTAGGGCAGTGATGGCGAACCTTTTGAGCTCGGCGTGTCAGCATTTTGAAAAACCCTAACTTAACTCTGGTGCCATGTCACATACAAAAATTTTTTGATATTTTCAACCATAGGAAAACAAAGACTTATATTTTTGATATTTATTTTATATATTTAAATGCCATTTAACAAAGAAAAATCAACCAAAAAAATGAGTTCACGTGTCACCTCTGACACGCATGTCATAGGTTCGCCATCACTGTGCTAGGGTAACATCCCTGCCTCACCCAAGACATTGAGGGGCGGCGTCCCCACCAAAAAGGTGCTGGGACAGCGTGGGACCTGTTGGGGGAGGATACATGGAGGAGTGGGGAATAAATGCTTGTGATGTACAGTTGGTGGGGGAAAAGCAGTTCATAGAACTATATTTTTAAAAACTACATATACAGCATAGCATCAATATTTAATATAGACGTGACTGGAGGGAAAACCCACAATCTAGTAGTGGGTATCTCTGAAGATTGGGATGACAGGTGATTTCTATTGTCTTTTATTATTAGAAACACACAGAAACTTCTCTTCAGCTAAGACTTTTCTGTTCCCTCATTTTTAAAAAAATGAACAGAGCCCTAGCTGGTTTGGCTCAGTGGATAGAGCGTCAGCCTGCAGACTGGAGGGTCCCAGGTTCGATTCCGGTCAAGGGCATGTACCTTGGTTGCGGGCACATCCCCAGTAGCGGGTGTGCAGGAGGCAGCTGATTGATGTTTCTCTCTCATCGATGTTTCTAACTTTCTATCCCTCTCCCTTCCTCTCTGTAAAAAATCAATAAATATAAAAAAAATGAACAGAGTGACCTCCTCTTTTAATTCCCAGGCCCTTAGCGTCTTTAATCATTTTTTCGTTTCACGAAGAAGCCCCCTCAGCCAGACCTCCTCTTGAAGGCTCCCCCGCCCACCTCCTCTGCACTTACATGGCCGCTCAGACCTCCTTCCCCAAGAGCCTGTGTCTTAGTGTCACAAAGCCGACAGCTGCGGCAGAATCATGGCTCAAAGCTGTGCCCACTCCGTTATTACTGTTCATTCATCTCCTGGGTAAAGCTTTTCTCCCTGACCTTCGACTTCACTGAGAGGCAGTTGGGAGGACATTTTATAAAATACAAGTAATTCAACTTAAGGCTGATGAGAAAAAGCAGTCCTCACTTCCTTGATATAATCAAGCACCCTTCCCTAGTTTAAATGTCACTTGAAAAATCCTTATTGGAATATGACACAAATGGGTCAAAATGCTTTCCTGGCATTTTAAACCAAGTTCTAGAGCTGTGTCTTTCTGGAAAGGCAATTTGATCAGGAAGGTTTTGAGCTTGGGCTGAGTCTCTTTAGGCTGTGTGGCCTCGGACAAGTCTCTTAACCTCTCTGAGCTGCAGTTTTTCTCAAATATAAAGTGAAAATAATTATATCTACCTCAGATGATTGGCTTTTATTTTAATGAGATAATACACATAAAGAGTTCACATAGTACAAGATATAGTGTTAAAATCTGAGGAACAGTGTTTATTATTACAGTGGGGCCTTGACTTACGAGTGTCCCGACTAACGAGTTTTTTGAAATACCAGCTGTCTCTCGGCCGATTTTTTGCATTGAGTTGACAGAGTAATTTGAGTTAACGAGCTGCTTAACAAGCTTGTCTCGGACGAATTAAACTCGTAAGTCA